TCCGAGGGAAGACTGGCCCCCGCCCGGAATCCTAAGGCATCGGTGCCAGGCAGAGAAACAGCTGCAGACAGACACGGGCTCCAGGAACACGTATTTTCCATGTACCTGCTGAGGAAGCAGGCTGTATCACAAAGTATGACCCCCTAATTGAGGGAGAAACAGGGCCCAGAAAAAACAGTCCCAGGGACACAGACGAGACGTCCCACACACGGCCGAGCGGCAGCCCAGAGGCAGCAGAGCAGGAGGGGGCTCCAGAGGACAGGCTCCAAGAGAAGAAAAAGCCAGACTGACTGGGAAGCTCCTGGCAGTGCAGTCCTCGTGCGCTGGGGGCTGGGAATAAGTTAATAACAGGACACTGAGAACCAAGCAAATGAAAGTGAGGCAACTGTTGACTCCAGCAAAAACAAAGATGTCATAATAAAAATCATAATCAAAGTCAAAATAATAAAAATGCATGAACTATAATTGAAGAGAAAAATAAACCAGACTTCATTAAAATTAAACTTTTTTGTTCTTCTAAAAACACAAAAATGAAATTGCAAACCAGACCGGGAGAAAATATCTGTGAAACATCTATCTGACAGTGCACTTTTATCTAAAATACAAAGAACTTTTATCGCTCAATAGTAAGAAGACAAAAACCAACCAAAAAAGGGGGAAAGATCTGGACACACTTCGCCAAAGAAGATAAACAAGTGGCGAATAAGCATGAAAAGACGCTCAGCGCTGTCAGTTCCAGAGAAACGCAAATGTGGAAATGCCCCAAACTGGAGACAACCCAAATGTCCACCAACGGAAGACGGATAAACAACTGGGCACGTCCATGGAGCTGACACAGCCCCCAAGCGCCGCAGACTGTTGACATGTGCAACAAGTGGATGGATTTCTACATAATTATGCAGATGAAAGCAGCCAGACAAAGAGGAGTGCAGTACACACCATGTGACTCTGTCTGGAGGAAGCTCCGGCAGATGCACACGAGATTACAGTGCAGAACGTTCATCGGTGGTGCCCGGCTTGGGGGCAGGGGAGGGGGAGAGGTGGGAGGGCTTTCTCGGGGGCCCAGGAAACTTTGGGGGCGACAGAGCTTTTCAGTACTCTCACAGGTGTGTACACATACCCACGCTCATCACGTCGTCCACTTGAGACGTGCAGTTTACTGCCCTTTGATCACCCCTCAGTAAGCTGTAAAGACAGCGGTTATAATACACTACATTTCTTAGCTGTGAACGGGATTCATGCCATTGTTACATAGACGCCAGATACTGATTTAAGCAAAAGTTGTGATCATTATACTGGGTGGGCCAAGGGGACAGTACAAAAATGCTAAATCCAAATCTTCTATAATAAAAATTTATTAGACAGTGTCTAAAAAGAACAGCATAAACCTACCTTTTTAGACAAATGGGAGCAAACAGCAAGAAAACGCCACGCAGGGCCAGCCCCAATAGCCTAGTGGTTAAGTTCAGTGCGCTCCCTTTCCGTCGCCCGGGTTCAGTCCTACGCTGCTCAGTTAGCAGCCATGCTGTGCTGGTGGCCCATATACTAAAAAATAGAGTAAGACTGGCACAGATATTAGCTCAGGATGAATCTCCCTCAGCAAAAAAAAACCATGCAAAGCTGTAGGTTATTGCCTCAAAAAAGTGGGGCTTGGGCATGTGCACGGGGTGGGGCAAAGGGATCAACTTGCTCTTAGCCCAGGATGAGTGTTGCTTTAATAAAAATTCAACTCCGGACCACGTGACCCAGCAGTTCCATTCCCAGGCATCCATGAAAACAAGTGTCCACACCAACACTGTACAGGATTACTCACAGCAGCACTGCTTAAATTAGTCAAAAGGTGCAGACAACCCAAATGTCCATCAACTGTAATGTATAAATAAAATGTGGCCCATCCATACAACAGAATATTATTCGGTCATAAAAAGGAATGAAGTACTGACACATGCTACAACATGCATGGATCTCAAAAACATTATGCTAACCGAAAGAAGCCAGATGCAGAAGGTCACATATGTATGACTCCATTTCTATGAATTGTCCAGAGAAGGCAAATCCAGAGACGGAAAGCAGATGAGTGACTTCCAGGGGCTAAGGGGAGGGGAATGAGGAGTGACTGCTTAATCGGTATGGTTCTTTCTTGGGGGTGATGAAAAAGTTTTGGAACTAGATCGTGGTGATGGCTGCATAACTCTGTGAATATACGACAGACCGCTGAATTGTACACTTTCAATGGGTAAGTCGTATGGCACACGAATTATGTCTCAATAAAACTGTTACTAAGAGAAAAAAATCCAACTCCTGGAGCAGGGCTGGTGTGACACAAGAAACAGACAGTGGTCTCTGCCCCCCAGTTCCTGACACCCAGCTCCTAAATCCTTGGCAATTCCTGGGTGACAAGTCACTCTAACCAGGCGACTCTGGGTGGGCTGCTGGGTAGGGGATGGTCACCAGAAAGACCACACCATGATTAGAAGTTGGAGCTTTCAGCCCCACCCCCATTGTCTAGGGAGGTGCAGGGGGCGGAGTTTGAGTTGATAACTGATCATGTCTACACAGCAAAGCCTTTATAAAAATCCCTAAACCACACGGTTCAGAGAGCTTCCAGGTCAGTGAACATATCCACATGCCAGGAGGGGACACGCAGACAGAAGCTCCTGAGCTCGGGACCCTCCCAGACCCTGCCCTGGCTATCTCTTCATCTGGCTGTTCATCTGTATCCTTATCACACCCTACGTTACATAATAAACCGGAAAACCCAAGTGTTTGCCTAAGTGTGAACCAGTCCAGCAAACTATCAAACTGAGCAGAGGATCATGGGAACCCCTGATTTGTAGCCAAACTGGACAGAAGTGTGAGTAGCTGGGGACCCACTACTTGCAATTGGCCTCTGCAGGGAGAGCAGTCTTCTGGGTGGAGCCTTCAACCTGTGGGGTCTGCAGCCCCTCCAGGTAGATATGTCAGAGCTGAAATGAGCTGGAGGACACTCACTGGCGTCCGCAAGGAATTGGAGAGCTGGCTGGTGTGGGAAAATCCCATTTGCTGTCAGAAGTGTTGTGAGTAGAGAAAACAGGGTCTTCCTTTGGCTGGCACCTTGCCAGCCACCTCTGTAGACGCACACAGCAGGAACTCCTATTTGGTGACGGACCCCATGCCCCAGATGAGGCCCAGCAAACAGTTCAAAACCCCAGGAGCAAACCAGAAGCTCCCTGATTCAAGCTGGAGCCCTGAAGAGCTCTCAGAGTGGTGAAGGGATGTCTTTCCCACAGCGCCCTCCCCTTCCGCTGCTTGCCCACTTCGTCCATCCTGCTCACCAGGCCTGCTGTAGCAACAACCCCCAAGGACTCTGCCAACAGGATGTCCTGGAATCTGACCACCATTTCAGACATGCTCACCCTCACTGTGGGGCCACACGGAGACTGGATTTTCCAGTGGGCAGACCCTCGCTTGTCTGCGTGTCTGTGACTACGTGGAGAAGACATGCCTGGTCCCCACGGCCACCATATCATTAACCACAATAAGAAAATATCCCTTTGGAGACAAACAGGAACCCGTGTGCAAACGCACACCATCAGACTTTCCTCTGAGAGCTTGGGGGCCCAGACTGTGGCTGCAGGACCTGCAACCTGGAGGCCAAGGGGCACTGCGCAGAGCCCAGATGTGGTCTCTGAGCCCAGAGCCCACTGGTCGACAGCCACGTCTATCACAAGAGTCCAGGCCTCCGTCCACCCAAACGTCCTACACGTCACGATCAGGCTGAGCCCGCAGGCCTGACCACCACAGCACCCCTCAGCGCCTCCCTGTCCTCACAGGGCTGCCAAGGGCAGGTGAGCTCTGCGCCCACAAGAGGCTGGGGCTTTCCCTCTCAAGCCACAGAGATAGGGAGCAGTACTGCCTCTCTGACAGCAAGCAGAGCCCAGCCTGCGTGAGGAATCTGGCCCTAGTCACTCGTTCTGCCCACCCAGCCATGTCCCTTGCCTTCTCCTCCCAGCCCAAGAGGGCCCATAGTTGCAGCTGTCAACAGAGCAGCCTCATTCTCACACTGGTCTCACGGAAATCCGGACGCCACTGTTGTGCTGCCCAGCAGCAATCACGGTACACACCTGGCAGGCCCGCGAGGAATGACGCTGACCCAGGGCGGGGACACCGGGGCCAGCTGGGCCACTGACAGGCTCAGGCCTCCGTGTTCTCAAACAAGGGGTGGCAGAGGCCACTGGAAAGCCCCGCAGCGGACAGGCCCGACTTCTGGTGCAGGACAGCAAGGAAATTGCGAAGGGAGGAGAGCGAGTGTGAGCGGCAGCTGTATTTACAGGACCTCTGCTTGAATACCACCACATGCCTGAGACAGAGGCCACTCTGGGAGCTGGAATTAATGGACACAGAGAGAAATCGAAGTTCCCAAACCTGCCAGCACAACCCAGGGCCTCAGGTCACTCCAGGGCAGCCCACGACTCCTCACGTGTCATACTGTGTGCCTTGATTATAAACGTAGCATGAGTTCATTGTAGAAAACTCGCAAAACATACAAAACGCATAAAGAATAGACTCCATCCCAGGAGTTCCACCTGTCACACTTCTGGGGTCTCTTCCTCTACCATGAGATGTGTGTGTGCCCAAAGTCTTTATACAAAATTGGGTCACCCCATTCTATGCCATCATCTGAGTCCAACTTCATACACGGCTCCCCTATGTCAGCCATTTGAGTTTTGCCACGACACCCATAAACATGGATCTGCCCATGTGCCCTCCCAAGCAGCGCTTCTCAGGGAGACGGACCTGCCAGTGTACACTCTGAGCAGCACTCTGGGGCTGCCTGGTGCACCCACTTTCAGGGGACGTGCGCCTCACTGTCCTCGCTAGCCCTGAGGGTTATTGTCATTTTAGAAAATCTTTCCTTATTTGACAGGAAAACATGATCCCAAATCAAAGAAGGACCAGACACAAACCCGCCCCTGCACATCCGACGACTTCAGGGGTCTCTGCTGCATCGGGGGTCTTACCGAGTTCCTTGGAGCCCTGGCTCTCGCTGGCCAGCTCACCCATCTTCACGAGGGCATCGAAATAGCCTTTGGCTGCATACGTCACACCTGAGGGAAGAAAGAAGGGAGCGGTTAGTCCCTTCACTAGGGCCTGCTGAGACCCCGGACCAACACAGTGGCTGTGGCGCATGCCAGCCTCCCCGGGGCCTCGGCCTCAACTTGACCCCCTTTCTTGTTGATATTCTTCTTTGGCCCAATCACGAGGACTCCTTTTCTCCATAAGAACACAGTGTGCAGTTCAGGTCCAGAGCTACTCAAGTCAAACTGCAGGGTGCCGTCGGGCCACGTGGTCTCTGCCAGGGGGAGGAGGGAGTCCTGAGTGTATACAGGAGACAAAGGCCAGCGCTGCACAAGGGACCAGCAGGTCAGAGGGCAGGAAACCAGGTACTCAACGATCCCGGCAGAGCTGGAGAGAGAACTCTCTCTACGGTTCCCTGGTCTCAGAGAAGACTGGGAGGGAGTCACCTGCTCGAAGCAGGCTAAAGGCATCGCTGCAGGGGGCTTCCCACCGCGACTTCAGACCTATCACAGGTGGATCCGACTTCTCGCTGAGCCTGAAATGCTCGGTGCCAGCTCAATTCCCAGGACCCACGCCCCATGCCTGCTGCCTGGGGAGAGCTTCCTCCTTGGGGAACACAGGTGACCCTGTGGGACCCCGGGTGTGCCTGGCAAACTCCCTCCTCTGAGAAGGAGCCCGCCCAGCCCTGCAGGCTGGACAAGGACGCCTGGAGAGCAGGGCCTTAAGGAACAGCCACCAGTGGCATAATTACAGTTTCTAATCAATTTTCTACACAACCCAGTTAGGGGCTCATAACTGGGCGTTTATCCAGTTTTACTTAGGTTGTTCTCAACTAAGCACATGCCACTGGTCTGCAGCCCAAGCGCATGCAGCGTCTGTGCCCCAGAGGGCGCCTGCCGACGGAAGGGGGTGCTCCTTAAAACAAATGGATGCAAAGTCAAACTGGGCTCAAGTCTGGCGCTGGGGCGGCCGAGTGCAGCTGCGATAACGATGGTGATGTGGCCAGCTGAGCTCTGTCCTAGGGCACAGTCCAGGAAAACAGGCAGAGGAAGGAAACCTCTGATTCTCCAACATGGTTCCCAGCAGAACCTCATGAGGAACCCAAGGGGGACAGAAAGGCCTGGAAGGAAACCTGTGCCTCGCATCAAAGAGCCAGGGCACACAAACCAAAGAGAAGGCAGGCGGCGATTCTGACCAGGACTCAGTGCGAGAGGCACCGACGCAGCGCGTGCGGCAGTGCGATTATGGCACTTCACGAGGGGCAGGAGGTGTCCTACAGAGGTGGCTTTCAGAAAACGACCCCCACCAGTCTGAGACATGCAAGGCCGCTGTCTCCATGGGCTGAAGAGTCCTGGCACCTTCGGGTCCCACATCCAGGGTGCACAAGACTCAGGCCCAGCCCAGAATGGATGAAACCAGCCTTATTCCAAGGGAACAGAAATGACTTTTGCTTGGAGAAAGTGACCATCACATGCTGCACCTGAGGTGATGGGAACACACAGGGTCTGAAACCTCTAAGCCAGTCTCAGCCATGCCTCGGTCCTCCCACCTCGGTTCAGAAGCCCCTTCCTGTCCATCAACATTGCAGACAGGATGCACAGTCAGCCCTCAGATGACACAGGAGAGCCTGTCCTGCAAGTGGAGTATTGCAGGGGAGGCGACCCAAGGCCAGCTGTCCAGAGGCCATGGACCCTGCTATCAACTCCCGGTGGGGATGCAGGTCACCGCCACAGCCTGGGATCTGCTGTTGTCATTAAGACCCCACAGGCTGGGTCTCAGCTCCAGGAAGGACAGCTCCTTCAGACAAGTGTGATGCGACAGAAGCTGCAGTGGACGACCAGGAGCCTTCTTTCTTGCTTAGGACCTCGCGGGCCCCCTGCGGCAGTGTCACAGGGTGCCAGCTGCAGAACATCTGGTGCCCCCACGCCTCCACGCCCACAGAAACAGAGAGACAGCCAGGGGCTGCCTGTTGATGCTGTCGACTCCCGAGAGGTGAGACAGAGGGGCACAGTCCTCCCGCACCCCCAGCACGGTCTGTGTAGGTCACTGCTGCCTTTCCCTCCTAAACGGTCAGCCTGCAGGAGTGGTCCTTAGAAGGAAGGATCAGGGCACAGGGGGCCACCTGGTACGACTCAGGCACCACAGGAGGCCCTCTCTGGTCCCTGGTCCTGGCGAGTGGGCAGGACTGTTGCGAGATACCTCTACCTGGAGACTAGCAAGGCCACTACCCAGGGACAGGGGGGTTCTGCTGGGTGCTCTGTCCCCAAGTGGCCACAGGGGCAGAAGAGAACAAGAGCTGACCAGCTCCAGCCCTCTCCTTGCCTCCCTAACCTAAGGCCGCATCCAACAAGCCCCCACGGGGCCGTGGAGGTCCCAGGCAGCCAGCGGAGGCTGGTGCACATTTTGAAGACACAGGAGTGAAGCCTTTGCCCCCAACGATGGTGTATGTAGAGCGACAGTCTGACACCCAGCCAGGAGAGACACAGTTAAGGGTCTGAGATACCAGAGGTTAGTGCCCAAGACAGGGTATCCCCAACCACGGCATGACTCAGCCAGCCCCTGCTGGGGTGGAAGGGCCCAGATGCACTCCTGCCCCCACTGCAGTGGCCAGCACTGACGCCCCTCTCTGAGCTGGACAGGCGGGGGTCTTGAGAAGATGGAGCAGAGCGCCTGCCCAGCCCCCATCGCCCCCCGTCCCTCGTGAGCTGCAGGGAGTTTACTCACCAGCCAGACCCCTGACCCCACACCCAAAGCCACCGTGGGCACCGACTGCTTTGTTTCAGCCCCAGTCCTACAGCATCAGGACAATTCTGGAGGACAGACATCCGCATCCCACCCATCTTTAGGTGCCGCAGACTAAAACAGAACCAGACTCCGAGCTTTCGTCACAGCCACCACACAAGACCAAGGGCGCAGCTGTCCCCGTGATAGTGGGGACAGATTTCAGGGCTCACGGGCCTCTGAGGTGCGGCACCTACACCCTCCCTCTGCTGAACTCTGTTTCGGGAACAGAACACCTCCCTCCATTTCTAATGAGGGCCCACGAGCTGCCCGTGCACTGAGAGGCCATCGCTCCCACCCCGAGGCCTACCTGCCAGGGCTTTCTCGTAGTTCTTCCCCATGGCGATGAAGTTTCGCAGGCTGGGGTTAAACTGCTCCATGATGGTCTGGAGGAAAGCAAAGAAGAGAAAGAATGAGCGTCAGTGCGACCTGGTGACTCTGGGAGTGGCCCAAAAGCGAGGAGAAAACGGCAGGTGTCACCTCCTGGCTGGAGACCAGGAAGCCACGGCCAGGCTCCCCAAGTCCGAGTGCCAGCTTTGCCCTTGCTGAAGGATCTGGCAAAGAACGCTCCTGAGCCTCAGTCTTCACATCCGTACAATGGGGATAAGAACAGACCCTGCTGCACGGGGCTCTGTTTGGGGTAAACAAACGGAGGACAATACCCAGACCACAGGGCAGCACTTGGCCCGCGATCAGCACGCAGACGGTGGCTGCTGAGGCGCCATCGCCCCATCTGGCAGGGCTGAGTCAGCCGAGGAAGGCCCTCCTGCCGGCCATACACACGACACGGTGCCGCCCGCCTGGCGCCCCCTCCCACTAAAATCTTCCCTCAACACATCAATTACCAAACACCAGCTCTGATTAGAGCGCTCCACGGGCTGATTTGCAAACACCAGGCTATGAATAATCCAACACACTCCAGATCTGTTTGCCCGATGGACTGAAGTCTCGGTGCCAATATCAGCAGTTCTTAGACTGAAGAAATTAGATTTTCAGTGCGAAGGCCAAATGAATGTTTTAATTACAAGGCATAAAAACAGGCACGCACAAACAGCCGCCAAATGTGAGTTCTACCGGATAATACGCACTGACTGCCGACAGCTAACCCCAGCCAGTGAGAACACCGGAAGGAACTTCCAAAGAAAACTGCCGTGGCCCCAGCCTATGTCTTCGGGTCCACTAGTATGATACGTATCTGATCTTTCCTGAGGATAAGAGACAAACACACCTGGGAGGGGAAACAGCCTGGTCCTGCCACACACCACGGAGGCCCCAGACGCTTCTGCCTGAACAGAGGCCACACGGCCCTCACCCTCCCAGCCCCAGCCTGGCCTCAGGTGACGCCCCCCCATTCCCTGCTCCTTGCCCTCCGCCAGCATGACCAACACGGTGGGTTCGCAGAAGGGCTGTGACAGCTGGCTCCAGAAATCCTGCCACTTGGCACCTGCTCCATCCACTCACCCTGAGGGTGCAGCCAGGAGCATCGGCCGAGAGAAACTGAGACCCATGTTTACAGGGGACGAGGCCCTGTACCTGAGCTACCCCCTACTCCTCTGAGGCTGGGTGGGCAGCTTGTCGAGGGGATGCCCACTGGGCTTGACACCATGTGGGGAAGCTGAGAGGGCGAGCCCACAGGGCAGATGCACCTTCCTTCCCAGATGCAGCAAAGATGAGGGCACCTGCCATGTGCTACAGCAAAACTGAGGCCACAAGGGGACATAGCAGTGATCCCACCTGAGCAAGTCCTGTCCCCACAGGGCTGACGTCCCAAGAGGAAAGGCACACCCACACCACACACCAGGGAGTATCCTGTGCGTTTGGAGAACAAGACAGCAGGACATGGGCTGGGGTAGAGGCGGGGAAAGGAGTTCTTAGCCGAGTTCGGAAAGTAGGGGAGTGAAGCATGTGGCCAAGTGAGGAGAGCCACAGGCAGGCCAGAACAGGCAGAGGCCCTGAGGCCAGGGCCCGCCAGTGCATCAGGGACAGTATGACAGCCTACAGGGAGAAGGGGTGCAGTAACAGATGAGAGCCTACTGCCTCACCTTGCAGCCCACGGCAGGGAAGGCCCTACTTCACACCCCCCAGCCCCGGACAGGACGGGAAGCTGCAGGAGGTCTGAGCAGAACCAGGCCAGTTGACTACATTTCAAAAGGTTCCCTCTGATGGCTCGGGGAGACCACACTGTAGCCAAGGGCCTGGCAGACACAGGGAGACCTGCTGGAGCTGCTCAGTGATCTAAGAAGTGAGGCGAGGGTGGAGAGGGGTCAGGCCCACCTGTCCTGAACATGAGGTACCGCAACGTGGGGCCGATGGGGCATGAGCCAGGGGGAGGCAGGTAGGACATGGGTTGTTGATCTGGGGGCCAGACACTGTGGTGGGGAACCCGGAGTGTGGACATGTCACATCTAGGGAGTGCATGGGAGCGGGGCAGGGATGTCACGGAACAGGGAGCAGGGAGAGGAGGATTCGAGTGGGAGACCAGGTCTGGGCTGAGCAGCAGACGGGGAAATGAAGAGGCCTGCTGAGCCCTCAGCCATGGCTCACGTTCCCGCGCAGACCTCAGGCCAGAGAAACGCCGCATGGGTCATGCGGTTTGTTCAAATCAAACAGAAGAGAGACAGGTATACACCTTGGAAGGGTGGATTCCATCCGATTCTGGTGTTCCAGGTGTGCGTGTGTGTGTGTGTGTATGCTCGTGTGTGTATGCATCTGAGTGTATGCTTGTGTGCGTGGGTGTACGCACGTGAGTATGTTCCTGTGTGCATGCAGGTCCATGTACGCACATGAGTGTATGCTCGTGTGCTTCTGTACCGTGTTTCAGCATTAAACGTGTTCCTCACTGTAGTGACAAACACAGGTCCGAGACACTGCCCAAGTGGGTGGGCATGCAAGAGCAGGACCCAGTAGCAACATACACACACACACACACCTCCCCACCGCTCCAGGGAGGAAGAAAAGCCTCCACCCGAGCTCATCCTTTGAGCCCCATTAACATCCTGAGCGACAGCAGGAAACAGGCCAGCATCCGCCTAGGCCAACAGAGGGGGTAACCGTGGTGGCCCGCCCACGCTCACCCAATGACACATGGGGACAGCCGCCAGGTTTCGCTTCCTTAGTGCAGCAGCTGAGCTCACATACAAGGAATGCGGGAGTGAGTGGGCAGGGCAGGACCAGTGCTGGGGTGCCAGCCAGGCCACCTGGGCAGGGCACAGCCTCTGCTCCGCTGAGAAGGGGCTGGCGGTCAGGACACTGGGCCTGGTCACACAGATGCTGCCGTCCCTCCTGGAGGCAGTGGCAGAAACGTCATGGAGCATATGTGCACAGGGAGGCCCTCCTTCCCTGTGGAAGGGCCAGTTCTTCCTGCCAGCTCCACACACAGGGTGGGCCTGCTGTGGAAGCCTGTGGTGGGTACTCCCAGTTAACAGTCACCCACCCACCTCTGGGTCACTGGATCTCTTGGAATCTCAGCCGCCAGAGACCAGCCAGGTCCACAACAACTTTTTCAGGAGGGACCCTGGTGACCTAAGAAGGACCCAAGCCCTCCAGTAGGGAAGTCTTCTCTGGAAGTGGGGGGCCTCTCTGGCAGGGACCTCTTAGAACCCTTGTTCAAGCCATTCTAAGGCTTACGCAGAGTCATTTGGACCCAGTGGCCTGTGCCTTCCCTAGGCCCGAGATGGGCCCAAACCCACCCCTGGAGGCCTCGAGTGGGCTTCCTGCCACTGTCCCCCCGGACACAGCCCGCCACAGGGTGAGCACTCTCCACGCCCACCCCCCACCACCAGCCAGCTCCCCTAACAGGGCCCTGTGCAGCCTCTCTGCACACAGGCAACGGCAGGGGTCCCTGGGAGGCAGGGGCACTGCAACCTTCCACCCAGTTATCGCTCAGACAGTGCTCCACGGGCTCCCTCATGCACCACACGGTACTTTTTCGGAAGTGACAAAACAACTATCTTTCTGTGGGACTCCTGCAAACTCCTGAACATCCTCCCGAGCAACGCCCGCGGGCCTGTTTCCTTTAAAATGGGAGGGGAGTATTTTTTCATTATCGACACCAAAGAGGGTTCAAAATCTGAGGCCGGGAGGGAGCCTCCCCGTGACCCAGCACTGAGCAGGGGCGGCCTCTCCCTGGGTCGTCTTTGTGTTGTGGACACCCAGGCACATGATGCTGTCATGAAACGGGCACCCGAGGACCCCACACTCCAGGGGCCAGGCTCCCCCAGCCAGGGCAGAAAACCTGCAGCATGAGTAACGACCAGCTGCTTCTTCAAACTCCAACACCCGCGCTGTGCAGATGAAATGCCGCCACTCGATCCCATCCCACTGTGGCTCACGGCGACTGAGTTTAGTCCTCTGGTAGCTTTTCCATGTCCACCACCCGCACGTGCTTTCCCTTGTTAGTTCCTTCCACGTTTACTAGGGAACACCTTCAGGGTGCCTGCAAAGGACTCCTGGACATCCCACAGAGTACCCACTGCAGAAGGGTCGGGGTGACGAGGGTTCTCTGCCAGAGACACAAGCTCGGCAAGGTTCATGGTCACCCTCTTGCTGGGCTGTCACAAAGCTGCACGTCCCTGCCCCCCTTGGAGTCACAGGAATCCAGGCCTTAACCCAATCTCCACGGCAGGGGTGCCCGGCTGCCCCAGCCAGCCCTGGGACCCCAGCGGAGCGTTTCCAGGTGTGAACGGGAGCGGCCGAGTCCAGGGGCACAGGGCCGTGAGCCCGGGAGGCCTGGCTGCCTGGCCGGCGACAGCCACTTTGACTTACTCTCCTCACGGGTCTGCCCGGCCAGCAAGGACAAAGGGCAGCAGGGCACCCCGTGTCCAACTTGGGGGAGGAGGAGAACGGCCAGCGCGTTTCTAGAAAGGAGCCCTGACAAGGGACTCAGCTCCGGCCCCTCAGCTCCGCTTCCTAGCGCCGGCCGGCCCCCTGTAGCCCTGTGCTGGAGGACCGCCACCAACAGCCAAGTCCCTCCGGGAACCACGGAAGCGACGATCCCCCTGCTTCCCCGGGTCCCTCACACGCAGCCCGGGAAGGACACGGGGCGTGTCCGCCGGGATCCTGTGTGGACACGGTGACGTGTGCGCATGCGTATGCCCGGGTAGGGACACGTACGTGCGTATACCCGCGTGGGGGACGTGCAGGCGCATGCGTATGCCCACGGTGGGGGGGGGAGGGGGGACGGGACGTGCACGCGCATGCGTACGCCCGCGTGGGGTGGGGAGGACAGGCACGCGCATGCGTGTGCCCACGTTGGGGGGGGGGGGAGGGAGGCCTGCGTGCGTGCGCCTACCTGCGTCGGGATGTGCGCGTGTGGCCGAGCAGGCTGCATTTTCCCTACACACTCGACACCCGGAAGAACAAACAGGGCGAGACGTCAGACTCCACC